AATATTTTTCATAGTCGTTTTGTGCAGGAACCAGACATATTTTATGCTACGACGCGTGTGAATAGGACAGCCTGTGTAAAAACCAATGAAACACGAAGAATGCACACGTACAGACTTTCTCTCAGATTTTTTTCGTATCCTCGTGTCCCATTTTTAGAAACGCGAAGAAACCCAAGAATTTGGACAAAGATAATTTCAGGAACTAACTTTTACCCTTTTTTTTAAACGTTAGAACTTTGAATATTTTTGAAATACCGCACCTAAAAAGTTGGGGTTTTGAGTTGATCGCTCAAATGTTTTCCTCTCCAGAAGGAAATCATGAATAATTTTTGAAACGCGTGAGACTAAAAGTTCATCTGCTTTTTATGGCCACATTAGCGTTCATTCGTTTATAGTACATAGACATAATATTCGATTTAACAGCGTCGTGAGAATTCGTATTTACCAAGTTTGTCCTGAGGGGCGACCGTGTCCCGGACCAACGTCAAACAAGTTATGTTCTTCTCGTCATAGAAATGATCACCAGGAGGAATATAAAGTGGGATGCACTCGGGATTCATCGTCGTTCCGTTGCAACAATCAATTCCTAGGAGGAAAGGAAAAAAAAAAACATGTATAATTCAAGTGCTCGCTCAATTACGATGCAGCTTATTTTCTTTTTGTTTCCTTAAGCTATGAGGCACTAGGAATGTTTTTTTTTTACCCGCGGGCATGTTAACAGAGAACTCCATGTCATGGTCGACGAACTGGCCCCAGATGACGAAAAGCATGTTCACTCCGGTTTCTTCTCTGTAATCCGTGCCGTGAACAACGCGAGAGACCAATCTCGGCAGTGGCAATGCTGATCCGTCGCTTGCCTTTGCACGAACAGCTGAAACGCCTGCAAGCATTAAATAAAAAACATTAAAGAAAATTGCATATTCATTAAAAAAAAAAGAAGATACTTCTTCTTTCGATTTACGCTTGTTCAAGGGATTGACGCGTGAAACTAGATATATGTGGTTAACAAATTTTAATAATTCACACACTTGATGTTGCGACAGAGTTTCAGAGATGTGTATTTGTGACCAGCTCGGATGAATGACGGCGAATTGTACTTTACCGAGAAAACGAAATAAAAATTATAAGGCTCGGATGAATACCTGCCGACATTTCGATAATTATTTCTGGATTTCATGCGGCGATTGCAAAACATTTATCGAAAAGTGATTGTCAGAAACAAATCGGCTTATTCCAAATTCCGTAGCAGCAAAATATTCTCATGAAAAAAGACAATCGGAAAAGATGCCGATTTTGGATCCAAAATTAGACATAGAAGCCATTGAAATTTTATTTCAGAAAACGAACAAAAATTTTGCCGGAACATTTTTAGATTTTCAAGAAGAGAAATAGTTTCTCCTCTTGCAAAATAAACCCAACAGCATAAATGCGTCGTAATTTTAATTTTTCGTCGCAAATACTGGATAAACCTTTTTGGCACTGCATTGCAAAGCCATCTCCATAGAAATAAAAAAAATCTGCAGGTATATTTTTTTGCGTAAAATGCCCCCAATAGTTGAAAAATAATTGAAATCGCTTAAAAAGTGTCGCGATTTCTAATCAAAAATGCTGGATAAATACTTCGGAATACTCGGCACGACTGAAAAAATACGTTTTTTTCTATTTCGAGGAATGCGTTGCAACGTCAGACTTGTTATCTCGCTACACATCAGCTCGGTTTTTACTCACTCAAACTATCGACATATTTATAAATATTTCGAAGAAAACTTATAAGTTTCAGGAAATTTTTCAGCACAAAAAACTTAATTTCTTTGTCCCTGATTGTTCGTGCACTTTTTTTTTTACAGTTGTCGCATTTCCGCTCGATTAAAGGGCGCAAATAACTGGTCATTCTGGTACAGTATAAGCAAAAATAAACTTCTGCAATTAAAGATCCACTAATCACTAATACGACTCGTTTATGACAGTGCTTTGATCGGCTGATCACTAACGATCAATAATTCATCGTTTTCTGACAGTGCTCTGTTCTTGCACTGCTATACATTCGCATTGTTCTCGGAATCTTGTGTCCAGGAGCTCTTATTCGGACGCGCTCTTTCGGGAAGCGCCATTTTTTAGAAACGCTCAATCGAATCCCAACATCTTCACTCACCATCTTCGTACGCAGGAGGTAGAGATCTCCGATACCCAGTTCTGCTGGCTCCCCACATCGGGTTCGCCAAATTATTGCACGACCCATCAATGCGTCGAAATTTTTCTTCGCTGGAACACTTTTCAACTTTTTTCGCGTCCCCGGAATCTCGGAGAGCTGGCAACGAGGACCAAGTGCTCGACAGCGAAGCTTCCTGTCGAGAAATGCCCAGGGTTTTCGTCACGATTGCCGACGCGGTGTCGACGACGTAGCCCGAGTAGTCGGGCAACTTCGACGCCGAGTCCAGGCCTCCTTTGGCCCTAACAAAGAGATCGTTGGGTGACAGCGGGACGTCATCCACGTAGGTGTCGGTGTCGGCGTCGGTGTCGTTCTCGAGGCCAGCTGCAGAAGATGATGGTCGCAAACCCCGCTGAAATTCCGCCGACACCTTGCCCTGTGTGACAGCGTCTGCTAGCTGCAGTCTTCCTAATTCCTTCCCAGCAACTAAAAGCGAAGAATGAAATCAGGAAATCTTAAAAGGCTCTTTTTCAATTCCACGGCCGGTTTTTGCATTTTTTTAAAAAGGTTATAAAAATGAGAGAAGCTATCCCAACTAGATTGAAATTTTTTAAAAGATAAATTCATGCTGAATCCAGTACATGATATTGGGGAATATTTCCGTTACTTCAAAAATGTGTTCATTCGAAGAATTCCAAAACTCTTACAGGAAATTTCGTACGTTCGAAATGTTGTTAACGCGTTCCTTCCCTATCATGTAGATTTATGTTTTATAATCACAGCAATTCGATTCCGATGTTGCTGAGAGAAAAATGGAAAGATCCTCGTACAGTAGTGACCTTTTTTTTTTACTTTGAATTGCACTGAAAGTAAATCTTACCGGTCATAATTTCTGGCAATTCAGCCATTTCTTCAGGAGTGAGTTGCAGTGATGCAGCATTCGCGTTCAAAGATTTGTTGAGATTATTGACTTCCCCGTCAAAAGCAGTGTTGGGGTTGTTCTTCGACGCAATGACGACGATGATGATGAGACCAGCGATCAAAGTGCCGCTGAAAAACGCCAGAAGAACGTTTTGGCACGTGGCCCAGGTTCGATGTAGACCTCTGTTCGGTCTGTCATGGACCAACAAGACGCGGTGTCGACGACGTAGCCCGAGTAGTCGGGCAACTTCGACGCCGAGTCCAGGCCTCCTTTGGCCCTAACAAAGAGATCGTTGGGTGACAGCGGGACGTCATCCACGTAGGTGTCGGTGTCGGTGTCGTTCTCGAGGCCAGCTGCAGAAGATGATGGTCGCAAACCCCGCTGAAATTCCGCCGACACCTTGCCTTGTGTGACGGCGTCTGCTAGCTGCAGTCTTCCTAATTCCTTCCCAGCAACTGCAAAAGCGAAGAATGAAATCAGGAAATCTTAAAAGGCTCTTTTTCAATTCCACGGCCGGTTTTTGCATTTTTTTAAAAAGGTTATAAAAATGAGAGAAGCTATCCCAACTAGATTGGAATTTTTTAAAGATAAATTCATGCTGAATCCAGTACATGATATTGGGGAATATTTCCGTTACTTCAAAAATGTGTTCATTCGAAGAATTCCAAAACTCGTACAGGAAATTTCGTACGTTCGAAATGTTGTTAACGCGTTCCTTCCCCATCATGTAGATGTATGTTTTATAATCACAGCAATTCGATTCCGATGTTGCTGAGAGAAAAATGGAAAGATCCTCGTACAGTAGTAACCTTTTTTTTTTACTTTGAATTGCACTGAAAGTAAATCTTACCGGTCATAATTTCTGGCAATTCAGCCATTTCTTCAGGAGTGAGTTGCAGTGATGCAGCATTCGCGTTCAAAGATTTGTTGAGAGTATTGACTTCCCCGTCAAAAGCAGTGTTGGGGTTGTTTAAGCTGCGTTACTGCTGCTACTACTACTCTGGTCGCTAGTTTCACGGCGACTTTTTGCGGTCTTCTTGCAAAACCGTGCACCGGGTCCAAGCTACATCTGGAGACAAGCCAGACAGTACCTGGTTGTAAGCCTCGCGAGAACCGAATCTTGTCTCCATTTTTTTCAAGAAGAAGAATATATTTGATTTTGAAGATAAAACCGACGGCGAGAAGCTAAAGTTGAGAGCGGTTATCACATGTCGGAAATATATTTAGGCTTCCTTATTCGTCTGTGGAAGATTCACACGTCAATGCAGGGATGATTAACCAAAAGTAAATAAATAAATAAATGTACAAGCATGAGTTCCACGAGGAAATTGGATTTGAAATCCGTGTGGAAAATGATCTGCGATTGTTATAAATTTCGATTTACGTCAGGGGCTTTCGATCAAGAACCTTTGAATTCATTGAAATGTATGATGTGATATATAATAATCATTAGACAGATTAAAGGATGTACGCAGATATTATCGTGAAAAAATAAATTCGATCAGAAAAAAAAATGTTGTGTATCAGAAAAAATAATTTCGGAAATGTCGAAAAGCCGGATGCTACTTATCCTACGGGTGATAATTAAAAAGACAAAAAGATATTTAATGAATTGAAATCTTTCCTGTTATTCTTTGATGAATTCAGTTGTGTTAACGGATTTATCGTTCTATTATAGACGTTAAAAAGCCTGAGAACGCGAATTCATCCTTTCGTTTTATTTTTTACCCACGGAAGTTTCCGCATCCGGTATTCAATTATAAAATATTCTCCCACTAAAAGTTCCGAGCACATCTTGACTTCATTGGCTTAAAATTACCGTCTAATTATTTTAACCATCAGTTTTGCCACAAAAAACCGCGGCATTGAATTCAAGAAACTGAAAGATCTCTCATTATCACTCGAATTCGCGCATCACATAACTTTGCACTTCCCTCCATGAAAATTTGATTTTCGCCGTTAAATTCCTTGATACTTCCGTTTTACTCGATTGGGTTTTATGCACTATCATACCAAATTTCTCAAGATGAACATTTATCACGATAAACACCCAGCCAGGCAAAGGCTGACCAGAGGAGCTAGTCTCCGTCTAGCTCATTATTTCACAGCCTCCTCAAGAACCCACTGAATAAAACCAGATATTTTCTGTCTTCCATCCGTTGCACGGTATCAGAAGTAGGATTCTTGCTTGGAGATACAGTAAACCGCATTCCTTGATGGACAAGACCCGACAGCGAAGCATGTAAAAAATACAGCGAGCTTCTGGCGGGAATAAGACGAGAACCATCCTACCTTTTTTAGATAAGGGTTACTAACAAATGTACGTATGTTGGTGGAATAAGTACATGCAGGAATCAAGGGAGATCAGATCAGCCCGACGTGGAGACTTTTCGTACCCAAATGCCTTTATTTAAAATATAGTGCCATGATACTGTCCCGAGACTTTCAAAGCAATCTGGACTCAAGTTCAACATGAATGTGGTTCGAGAAAACTTTCAGAAAAATGACAGTGAAGCTGTCACCAATGTTTTATTCCGATGTACTGTAGTTCACGATTTTATCGTAGATATATTTTTTAACCCATTTTCGGATTTCCGAGGGATTCGCGTGTTTGAGGAAAGTAATTTCGTAAATGTAAACATGCATTTCAATTGCAGATACTGGTTGAAAAATATTTGTAAGATAGCCCACAAAATTGTGTAACACCAGCACAGACACACATTTCTTATCGGATGGAGCCAAGATATGGAGATGGAGTACAGTAATTCAACGAAAACACCTAAATTCGGTATGCCCGGCAAAAATAAACAGATTTATTTTTTAATGTTACAGCCAAAAACGAATCTGCGAATAATTTTTGAGCTGATGAGCAGCGCTCTTTTTTGTGCTTCGCATAATAGAAAACACAAAAAAAAAAAACTGTCACGGTACCTCGTATTACTTCCAAAAGACCTCACCGTTGTCTGGTTCATTCGATGGATCTGACCTAATATAATATGTTACAGTGAAATCTTCATCAAAGGTCACAGACTAATTTCCAGAATTATTTTTGCAAATAGCAACGCAGCAACATTTTCTCTGCAAAGTTTTAAAACGCCCCTGATGAATGATCCCTTTAGTGCACAAACCTTGGAATGGATTAAGTAGTTCATCTTTATTAAGAAATCACATGACGAGTGACGGAAAGTATTTAATTCGCGATACTTAATCAATTCGTATAGAGACGGACGTGTACTCCTGATGTAGATTTCAATTTCTCCACAAAATCTCCGGAACATCCTGTACAGTGCGTACCGTATTTGATTTCAGTGTGATTCAGCAGCGGAAAGCACATATCTGTACAGTACTTTTAAGGCAGATGATTTTAAACATCAAATATTTGAACTTCGCTTGCCCTGCAGTAAAGTTTACTCAGTATTCATCTGCAGCCAACCGTTCACGATGACGTTCTGGATGTCCAATATCGATGTCACTTTTTCCGCTTAGGAAGTTATGATGTTCATTACTTAATTTTGAATTCAATTGGAACCAGCGCCAGAAAATGACATCAAAAAATGGGAAAATTTCGTTTTATGAGGTTCTCTTAATATCTGTGCTGACTTTGAAATCATTTCAAGATAATTTTCATTCAGACAACTTGCAGACTTTTAGATTACAAACATATTCAGGATAACTTGTGTTAGATTTTCTCCGCAATACCGATGTTCTTTTTGGAAAATGTTTTCTATTACATATGCAATTAAGAACCAAAAAAAGTGTCAATACTTTTTAAACCACATGAAGTCACGAGAGAGGCAGTACTTTCAAGTTATCATGATGGCATATTAATTGTGATTTCATCACTTTGATGATACAGTACTGTATTCTTTTAATATAAAACACTTGAAAAATTGAGATGAAATATCATGCATGAAAGATTTTAAAAATTTTACACGATCTCCCAGTCATCAATTCCAAGACTTTACATGCAAGAAACAAGTTTTCAAAGTCCCAATGAAAAGACCAACACTCCAAGTAGTCGTATTTAATTTAGTAAGTGTTAAAATGCTTATATTCTTGTGCGTTTGAAACTCGTGTAAATTAAATTATATGCAGTCGAATATCCATCTATGTGCCATGACCGCAAAGTAATACTCCAGTGCCGCAGTTCTTTTTCCGCAAATTTCATAAGCAAAAATTGGCCTACGTGAGGACCTGGCTCACTGGGTCGGACAGAACTCAGAAAGACACTGCAAACTGAAATTCCAGAATTTTTTTCCATAAACTTTAATTTTCATATTCAGCAAAATAAATCCTGCTTGCGGTGACATTGCGAGTCACGGGAAATCCATACACCAGACTCCTCTTCTTCATTACCGTACACTAGCAGTGGTGCCCAACTCAAAAATGGTCAAGGGCCACATTAAAAAGCAAGCCTTCTCTGTGAGCCACAATATTAAAAATAAATCAACTCCTCCACAATTTTCAAAATTTTAGACTCCTTTGAATTAAAAAAGTCAACAAGTCCCTTCATTTTTTTGAAAAATCTTGGCAATTTATCTGAGTAATTCATCTTGATCAAGTCTTCGTGTTTGGACTATTTCTTCGAAACGATTTTTTTAAATGACAATCGAGGCAAAACATTTGGCCATTGAAGATTGTGAAGAAAGATTTGCTTGTCCATTCTTCATTGAACACAATGCATTAATTGTCACTTTTTTGAGTGTCACTGCTTTCAGTCATTTTTCTCATTCAAACTCAAGTTAAGGCAATTTTGTTAAGATTTTCTGCGGGCCAGTTTGAAGGCCTACACGTACGGGCCAGATCTGGTCCGTGGGCCGTGCCGCACAGTATTTCTTCATTCATTAGGACGCACGCGCGGGATACAGATAATAAAAACTTTCTGATTCCCCCCAGTTCTTTGGGTTGTAAATTTTTTCACCGGCATGGAGGAACCTGGCTCACACGAGGGTCAGACGGAACTCGGAAAGACACCTACAGTCACGGCAAGTGAAGAAAACATACAGTATCCCTGTCCCACATCCTCGGCCAGAGGTTGTTGCTCGCAGGGCGGCTTCAATGAAAAAGCCCAAGCACACCGCGGGGCACAGGCTAGGGCACGTTGAATGCACAGAAAAGATGGAAAATGAAATAAATAAATAAAATAAAAACACGCACGAAGAAATACAAGGAAGGGAAAATGCCCCATCCCCTCTTGAGACCCAGAGGAAGAGAAAGGAGAGGTTGTGGACACATATACACGCTCTGAACCAATGGGAGACCGTGCGTCCCTCCCCTATGGGTAGCGAAAGCAGTGCTACTCTCGTTGCGTGTGGTATTGCAACGTTGCTGGCTGTAAAATGTTGACCTGTATACGTGAAGTTAAGTGAGCATGCCATTGAGTGAGGGGAGGAAGAAAGGAATGTTTCACGTACGGTATAGCGGTGGTTCATGAGTTTCGCGATTTCCACGTGGACCACACGATTTGTATTGTACAGTACTGTATATCATATATGGACCCCAGGAGCTTATTTGGATTCTTGATCCATTGAATGAAGTTGTTTGACCTAAAGTACCTCAAGACAACACAAAATGGCCAACCTTCTAAATAACCAGGTATAAGTTTTATAACACAGTGTAGGAGAGATTGAGCCTTAAAACTTTACCTTGTTAGTTACAGTTCTCGTAGCAAGTTCTTTATGATATCATCTTGGCTTGTTGTATTTGTTTGAAGAGTAATACCAGGGGACTCCCTCTACAACATTGTTGTCTGCATCGATTTTCTCTGGAAAACGATTTTTTTTTGTGGTCCCGTTGGTTTCTCTCGTCCTCGTGGTGGTTCTTGACAACAATATTTTCTCTACAACGAATTTTTCCTGGTCTCTTGAGTTTCGTTGTAGAGCCCATCTCTCCACAACGATCTTGTCTAAAACAATTTCCTCTATACGACGATTTTTTATGGTCCCATGAGTCACCTTCCCATGTTATACGGGTTCTCTACGAAGAATGTTTTCTGGTCCCTTGAGTTTCGTTGTAGAGAGAGTCCCATAATACTCTTTCAAGAAAAAGGCTTGAAAAATTTAAGATGAAATATGACGAATGATACAATCAAATTCTTTAAACCCCTCTGCTGCTGAGATTCTTGCTCACAGACGTGCTTCAACGCGAAGTTGAGGCACATCTTCTGGGGTGCATTTGCTTTCTGCTGCTGAATCGCGCTCAAATGTAGCACATCATCATTTTATCGGTGGATTTCGTGAGAAATTATAATCTACATCAGGAGTCCACAAAAATCGGAGTTTTTTCTCCGGGAATTAATTAATCATCACGATACAAAAAAGTGTCCCCTGCGTCACTCATCAAATGCTTCTTGATCAAAGAAATCGACTATTTGAACCATTCCAAGGCTTGTTCAATAATTTTTCAAATATCCCAGGATCTCAACACCACTCGACTGAGGCCTCAGGAATTCCAACAACAAACTGGATTTCATGGAGTTCTGTTGTGTTTTACCGGTTGGAAGATTTATTGGTCCATATTCAAAATATTGTGTCACATCCTCTCTAACTCGGAATTTTGAAATGGAACAATCAATGTCAAGAGCGAACAAGTTCTTTCAAGTTATCATCCTGGCTTGTTGTATTTTTTTGAAGATTAATACCAAGGGGACTCCCTCTACAATATTGTTGTCTGCATCGATTTTCTCTGGAAAACGATTTTTTTGTGTGGTCCCATTGGTTTCTCTCGTCCTCGTGGTAATTCTTGACAACGATATTTTCTCTACAACGAATTTTTGCAGGTCTCTTGAGTTTCGTTGTAGAGCCCATCTCTCCACAACGATCTTGTCTAAAACAATTTCCTCTATACAACGATTTTTTATGGTCCCATGAGTCAACTTCCCATGTTATACGGGTTCTCTACGAAGAATGTTTTCTGGTCCCTTGAGTTTCGTTGTAGAGAGAGTCCCATAATACTCTTTCAAGAAAAAAGCTTGAAAAATTTAAGATGAAATATCACGAATGATACAATCAAATTCTTTAAACCCCTCTGCTGAGATTCTTGCTCACAGACGTGCTTCAACTCGAAGTTGAGGCACATCTTCTGGGGTGCATTTGCTTTCTGCTGCTGAATCGCGCTCAAATTTAGCGAATCATCATTTTATCGGTGGATTTCGTGAGAAATTATAATCGACATCAGGAGTCCACAAAAATCCGAGTTTTTTCTCCAGGAATTAATTAATCATCATGATACAAAAAAGTGTCCCCCCGCAGTGAGTAGTTTACGAAGAACTAGTTTCTTTAGCTGATAAACTTGGTAAGGTTCCGAACAAGTTATTAAAAAGTTTATAGGGTCCTAGAGTTGTGGTGAGCTGACTCCGGAGTCCTTAAGGTTGGATAACTGCAGGTAACTTCTTCGCAAGCATGGGACCTTTTTTCCCAAATAAAATTCAGGAAACAAGGCGATGTTATTCGAGAAGCACTTGCTCTGGTCGGATTTCTCAACATTGTAACGACATTTGAGAGCCATCAATGCTTCGGAATCTTCGATTTGCATAAATCCCTACTCGACGATCAATAATTTGATTAAATCTTCGTCAAGAAAAGCATCGTGGTTATGCATAATCCAGATCAGGTAAACTGGTACTCGTCGTTTTAATGACGTCTACACGACCGGTCATCAGACTTATTCGCTTATTTTTAATCAAGTACACCACCAGTTTCATCGGTAAGAAAGCTCGTGACTGACGGATCGTATCCTTCTGGAAATTTTATCAGACACTGGTTACAACACTTCGAACCTAGCTGCTGGTACAGCTTCAGTGAGACGACTGAAAAATCCGTGACTAACTTAGGACAGGTAAAGGATGCAGGAATGGGTTCGTCTCAGCGCGGGAAACGATGGTGGGTTTTCTTTTCTTCGCGCATATGGGCAACGCTTCGCTTTCTCACTCTCTTTCTAGGCTAAAGAAATGAAATAATGTTACAAGAATGACAATAAGGAATGCTTGTCGTTGGTTAAATTATTCCACTGCCGGGTTCACGAAGTTTAACCAGGGTTAGCGTCTCCATGGAAAAAAGGTTTTCGCAGGTCCCTAGAATAAGTTATTTCAAAGATCATGTCTTCTTTGATAATTCAAGATAAGGAAATAAATTATATGTTCGCTCGAGACATTCTTGCCAACGTTTGAAAATTATAACTTGAAGTGGGAAAATTTAAACTTGTTTCATGTTTTCATATCTATGAATTTTCAGAAAAAAACACGTTCATCAGCACACAGCTCGGAATTTAATTTTACGCCGGGAAATTCCCGATAATTAGAATTATCTTAAAATTTAAAATTCAGAAGCTAACTGATGCATTTCAGTCTTCCATCGTAACAGTTTTCCTTCGAAACGGTTTTTCGGTCACGCACTGAGATACACTTAGGAATTTTCTGATGATGCCAAAAACCTCCTTTGGTGGCATTTATAGGTAATCCTTGGCCAATTCCCTTTAAACAAAATGCAATTTAGGTCTTCCTAACCCAAACTTCGTCAAACTTGTGAGTTATAACGTTTTTGTAATCGGGGCAGTTTTTGAACATCTGTTGCAGAAAATTAAAAAAACAAATAAACGTGAATGATTTTCTTTTGCTCTTCGCAAGTGATCGTAATCTCCTTCCGGGTAAAGAACATCTCTGAACAATGAGCAATTTTAATAATTCAACCAAAAATGATTTCCATTGATTGATCCTCCAAAGTAAAGACGAATTCCCTTACTCGGAAGTTTTCTAGGTCATATATTTTGTGGCCCTTCACATTTGATTTAAAAATGTTTGGCTTTATGGAAGATTTAATGATCGAAATGCTTTAAACATTTTGCAGAAAGTATCTCAAAAAGTAAAGAATTCGTTACCAAGAAAACATAACGCCCATCTTTTACCATGGTTATATGAAACATAAAATAATGCGGATCTTGCAATGGCTCTTTATACATTGACGAAAATGTGAAATTCAAGGCTAGAACCCTGAAATAAATTGAATGGATGCTATCAACTTCGAATGATGAGGTTTTTCAGATTGTATTTTTTTTTTCAATTGTCAAGAATACTTCGCTTTCACGATTATTCGGGACACAAATGGAAGGAATCAGCCTCCATTTTGCTCGGGGTGAATATAACTCGATGATTATCTCCTATATCCTCTGTGGAATTAGAGATTCAGTCTGGCGTTCGTTAGTGAGATGTTGCTAACGTTAGATCGATTCAACAGAGTAAATTTATATCACGAGTTCACGACATCATCATCAGTCGTTTCGTGGGGGCGGTACAACCGATTGTCGCCATTTTGAGCTGTTCAATAAGATGAAAAACGAATATGCAGTACAACCTTTTCATTTCATACGAATTGAAAGACTCACCTCAACAATCCGAGAATCAGGGATTTGAATTGCTTCGCCCTGTGCCAAGCGATTTCTCCAGCAGTTGGATTCCCAAAAGTCGTCAACGTTTCCCTGGCTCCATCGACTTCTATGCTTCCGTGACCAACTGTACTGGATGCCGGTAGAGCTGCAGTACTTGAGCCAACTAATGGCGTCGTTTCCGTTGCCGCGTCAGCCATACTTTCGCACAGCAACGAAATTATACAATCAACAGAACGAAACGAACAACAGTTGAAACCGGACTTTACAACACAATACCCGTCACAGCGCCCCCTGGAAACACTAAAATATTTGTCAATTCAAAACAAAGAAAAAAAGGAAGCGATTTTTTCACATCGGATTTTAAATTCAACGCTGATTTACCGAAATTAATATTTTATGTATTTTGAACATGAACAGAAATCCTATCCACAATTGCTGTATTCTACGTCAATGTAACTTGTTACGTAACTCGGAGATTTTGTAGCTAATGTTCGAAGGATTCGAGGAAAATGGCACTGGTGAAAATGTTTCTGTTGCATCATGAGACTTCACAGAAGAAAAAATTTGAGAAATACTGCGAAAACACAACAAATGAAATAGTGGCCAATTCTTCTGTGTCGGCCGTGTATAAGGGAAAAATCATGATAACCTCTGCGAAATGAATATTTTCTCCACTTTTCGTATTACAATGCATATTTCTCCTAGATCTGTCACTGGCTGCGATTCTTCTGTCATTGATATTTGTTTAAAAGTTCATGGATTGCATAATATAGTGTCTCAATTCCCAAGTCCGAAGCATACAATGAACATTTCGTGAAGTAATTCATTCGTTTGCTTTTTTTTTCTTCTCGACTGCAGTAGTGCATCAAATAGGTCTGAAAAATGGTCGAAAAAATGCTCTGGGCGAATTTTGGGTTCATACGAATGAGAAAACTTTGCATAACTCTCAAGAAATTCAAATGCACCAACTAAATCACAGAAATTCGACCACAAAAAGGTTTTGGAAGCGTTGAACCGAACCAGCGGTTTTTTCCAACACGTGCTTCAACCGCGACTATTCCGATCACCTCGATATCCAAATTTCCACTTGTTCACGTTGTATTTCAGTTTGAATTTTTATTTTAATGTCTTAAAAAGGGGGGATATACACGCGAAATGGGAACCCATAAGGCAACGCGTTCCACGTGCACTTCACGCGAAAGATGAAAGTGCTCTGCGTCCATCACTGGCTAGTTCACTGCTCACGCACACAAAAAAAAAAAAGAGCGCGGGTCGGACACACATCAAGGAAGCACACGAGCAGATTCCTTTTATTTCTTACATCTTTTTGAATAAGTATATACAGTATGTGATGGCGCCTTGTCGCGTTGAATCTACCACTGCATCATGGTCCCACACCGCTTGCTTGCACCTCCGAAATTTTCCACGTCACTATCGTATAATTGATTCATCATAATTACTGTTCCAAAAAGCGTGATTACGGAGCGGTGAATACAGAAGGCATTTTTGTTTTCTTTGCCAGGGTTATTACCCAAGTTCGCGTCTAAACTTCTTGGATGGAGCGTCTGGAAACGCTTCATTTGCATGACGATTTTCCAACAAAACACGGGCTTAACACACCTAGAAAAACATGAATTCGCCGTGTTACGAAGTTATTCAGAATACAGTATTTATTTCGAAAAAAGCTTCAATACACTTATGTCGACGAAGAAGGTGAAACGATAGTGAGCGAGGGATGTATGGAAAATATATTTTATCCCGCTACAATTCGTGTTTGGCGACGCAGAAATGGATAAAATTTGTTGCATTCAGTGGGTAAGTGGGAGTTAAAAACGAATGAAATGAAAAGGAAGAAATGTTGTTTCGTGAGAACAATAATGCTTGACTCTTTCGTATTTTCGGACCGCGGTTCTGATATTAAATTAATTTCGCTGATGAGACTTGCCCTGAATGATAAGCAAAAATATCCTCTATATAATTTCTTTTCATCTTTCGAATAAGTAGAAAACCAAGATTTTCTTCCTACATCTTTCAAGTCATCTAATTTTTAAACAAACTTGATACAGGTATAAGCTTTCGTTCAAAACTCCATGAAGTATTCACGATTTTGCGGGTTTATTAGTCTGTGAAATCATATTGTGTTTGTTCACTTGTGAGTGTAATATAAAGGTGCTTCAAGATTCCTTGAAGAAGAGGAACTGACAGACCACACACAACTCCGGTGGACTTGTGTCTCGACTCTCGAGGAAACTGCCAATACTCCGAACGTCATTATGTAACCAGGAAATCCAAGGTCTGGCGAATCAGATGCAGCTTCACATTACCGCAGACAAAGGGATTAATGCATTCAAAAGGATGCATTTTTGTGATGTGACTGGCGGTGGGAATTTTCTAACGTACATCCGGAATGATGACATAAAAAAAATTGAATAACACATAACGATTTGTTGAGGATTTACGAGTTCAAGTCGTGTCTGGTGCCCTGTTTCGCGTACTGTATGTTTTCTTCTCTCTTATTGTTCAGTTGACCTTGTTTTATGGGGAATCGAAGGGTCTTGTGACACATGCTACACGTATTCTTTTTTAGTGCAGTATAAAGTAATACGAGAAGATACATTTTTAAATGGTTAATTTGGCAGTTGATTTAGCCAAGTATATATGCGTCACACCTCAATAATTTTTTTACGCGAGGAATATCTCACTTTGCGCTGTTTGGGTTGACTTGCAACACGCACTATTGCTAATGAATTCCGAGTATTTCGTGGTCAATTTACACGAGTTTTTCGGGGACTCATTCGGGGAAATGATGAAATCACATTCTCGAAAAATAATGCGCGCACCAAGAAAATTTTTCCATTTTGTTCCGCAGAAAGTCGAAAGTGCAAAAACGCTCGACCTGCGCTTCGAGAATATTTTGATGGAATTTTCCTTGCAGTTTCAAAAATCAGAAGTTTCAAGTAGGAACGGGTAGATTTTTTAAAAATCGTAAACAGGTGTTCAATTCGAGAGTGATTTATACAACGGAAAGAAAGGATTACATTTGACTGAATATTCAATTTTTCATTTGCGTTCTATAAGCTGCCAGACACCGGAATGCGTTGGTCTAGGGTGACTCCGAGAGATTTACAATGCAGATATGTATAGAATTTCATCAAACGATAAGCCGTACCGTTTTTTACACATTTATTTCACCAACTCACATTTTCAGTTCATCTACAGTTTTTTTTTTACAAATTTTCTCTTCAAACTGCAGGTATAAACATCGATAATAAATAAATTCATATCATCATTCGGAATTTTTGGCGAAAAAAGAAGCTCAATATGCGCTCCACAGGGCACATTTTACGTGGCCAGCACATGTACGTAATACATTCACGAACGATTCGAAAAATGCCGGAAATCACTCGGAGAACTGAAAACTGAATTCCCGAGCCAATTCCTGACGGAATCGGTGACATTAAACTTATCCTGGCCGTCAGAAAACACGATCGAATCGAAAGGAGGATGGAAAGTGGTTGCTAACGGCTCCGGGTCACCACGAGGCACGTCGTAGGACCAATACGCTCGATCCTTCCCGCTGTTGCCTAATGAAGGATCATCCGATTTACTGCTAAAACCGAAATTATTTTCCACTGGCGTCCATTCATGGTCAAATGTCCTTCTGCTCCCTGAGGTGAAGAAAACTTGTCGGACAACTTGCTTGTTGTCGGCATCCGCTTCATTGCTCCTCTCGTTCATTGAGGATGTCGACCGCTGGAAGTTAATTGGGTTTTCCGCTCTGTCCACGTAGTCATAATAAAATGGGAACTCGTCAGGGTTGGCAGAGTTGCCAACGTCTTCTCGGGCGTTGTAATCGTCGTAATCGTCGCCGGCGAATGCTGTCGAGATTGCAGTTGGTACTGCGATGCCGATCGCTCCCAAAGCAACTGCACAATGAATCGTCGGCACAGGGAAGTAGATAAGAAGCAAAGCATCGTTATTTCGATCAAATTCTGCCCAAATACTTAATTAAATCGCATATTTACGTAAAAGAAACACGCAATTAACCGTCTCTATGACCATGTGAAACAACAATCATATCAGTTCATGTAGCGAAGATTTGAGAGACATTTACATTAAATTCCGTGCATGGAGGAAAACAGTACTGTATCAGCATTTTTGCATTACCTGTACAATTATTTCATGTCATGTCTAATCTGCATAGAATATTAATAATTGCTTCACATTAAAATAATTGATAAAATTAGATTACTGTATTAATTATTAAGTCTCCACTTGATTCGTCGATTTTTGTGTGTAAACGCTACGGATGTCACTTTTGTAAAAATAGTAACCTCTAAAAGGGTTCGTTCACCACTTGAAGACTTTACTTTCTGCGTCATTTTTTTATCTCTTAATAATCTCTTATATCTAAATTTGATCACTTACCAACTTTATTTCTTGAGTCACCACATGCACCAACATGTGAAAAGCCAAGAAAGCCATGCCGAACGTGGAATCAATGAAGTCAAATTGTATACGAATGGGCTCAAATTCATTTTGAGCAAACATTTTACAAACGTTCAATTAAAAGTTAGGTTATTTCTTGAAATCTCTGCTCTGAAATCTTTTCCAATTAAGGCACTCTTTCTACCCAAAACAAATTAGGAAATTTCTACTACGAATGGTTTATCATTTGAAATTATTTTTTTTTAATCATATTTAGATTTAATTTTAGATGGAAGCCTGTTATTTATGACATGTCATAAGACAAGACCTGCCTAAGCATATTACCAATGGCGCCCTTCGCTTAGCAACAATGTCTCTTTCGGCTGCACCAACATGTATACAGTAGCACGGTATATCTATAACTGTGATTTGATGATTATTATTTTTATTTATTTGAATCACAGAAATAGTCGCAGCAGGAAAAATTGTCTTACTTGCAGCGGCAGCCACCAGAGGTCCCGCAATAAGTAATGTGGGGAATGTCGCCAGCAATGGGCCACTTAACAAAGTTGCCCAGATTTCCGCCAAGGTGGCAGGTCGTACAATGACGGAAATTTCAGAGTCAGTATGGTTAGAGCCGACATCTGGTAAATACTTGGTCACGAACATCTCTGCTAGCAGTTCAACCAAACGTTGGAGGTAAAACTGGCAGGTGTCGTACCAGTAGCGGAATCGACGATAAACCCTGGCCCAGAATCCCTGGGAAGACTCCGACGCGAAAGTGGCCATCAACTTCTTCGCATAAATTCGCACTTTAAGCATGAAACCCGGGATTGATGCAAATATTCTCAATGGCGCTTCGATG